GGTTAACTAACATAAAGCAAAGAGTGGGGATAAATGAGTGCTTTTCTGGTTGGCGATCAGTGACTAGTGGTGTGCCTCAGGGATCAGTTTTGGGACTGCAATTGTTTACAATTTACATACGTAGATGATTTGGAGTTTGGGATGATGTGTGATGTGTCAAAGTTTGCGGATGACACTAAGATGAGTGGTAGAACAAAGTGCAGAGCACTCTGAAAGTTTGCAGACGGATATAGTTTAAGTGAATGGGCAAAGGTCTGACAGATGGAGTAAAATGTTGATAAATGAGAAGTCATCCATTTTGTTAGGAATAACAGTAAAAGGGACTATTATTTGAATGGGAAAAAATTGCTGCTGTGCAGAAGGACCTGGGTGTCTTTGTGCATGAATTGTAGAAGGTTGGTTTGCAGGTACAATAGGTAATTGAGAAGGCAAATGGAATTTTTCCTTCATTGCTAGAGGGATTAAGCTTAAAAGCAGGGAGGTTATGTTACAGCTGTATAGGGTGCTGGTGAGGCCGCATCTAGAGTACTGTGTGCAGTTTTGGTCTCCTTACTTGAAAAAGGATGTACTGGCACTGTAGGGAGTGCAGAGGAGGTTCACCAGGTTGATTCCGCAGTTGAGATGGTTGGCTTATGAGGAGAGACTAGGTAGACTGGGATTTTATTCATTGGAATTTAGAAGAATGAGGGGGAATCTTTATAGAAACATATAAAATTATGAAGAGAATAGATAAGATAGAAGCAGGGACAATGTTTCCACTGCTGGGTGAAACTAGAACAAGAGGGCATAGCCTCAAAATTAGGGGACACAAATTTAGGACTGAGTTGAGGAGGAACTTTTTCACCCAAAGGGATGTGAATCTATAGAATTCCCTGCCCAGTGAAGTAGTTGAGGATTCCTCATTGAATGATTTTAAAGCGAAGATAGATAATGTTTTGAACAGTAAAGGAATTAAGGGTTATGGTGAGGAGGTGGGTAAGTGGAGCTGAGGCCATGAAAAGATCAGCCATGATCTTATTAAATGATGGAGTGGACTCCAAGGGCCAGATGGCTTACTCCTGCTCCTGGTTCTTATGACTCTTATGACTACAACTTGCAAAAATAAGCTGAAGATATAACTTTAAACTAAATGGTGGGGTGCTGGGTTCAGTTGCATGAAAAATAATGGGAAATGTTAAAAGAAGGGAGGGCTGTGGAGAAATTATTAAAGTTTCCTGAACAAGTATTAGTATACAGAATATGGAAAGGGTCAGGAATCAGGCACAGATAAGGGGACAACTATGAGATGGGGAGTAGTTAACTCAGGACGGGGGGTGTGTTTTACTTAAATGCCGTTACACATAAAACAAGGTAAATGAGTTTATAGCGCAGATTGAAGTTGGAAATAAATATCCAAGAACATGCATCCTACCGAAAGGACAAGCAAATAGGCAGAGAGGGTGGGATTGTCTTGTTCGTTAAAAATGAAATTAAATTGATAACGAGCAATATAGGGTCAGAAGGCATAGTGGGTCCCAAGAAAACAAATTCGTGGGATGCCTACAAGATAGTGTTTTTTTCTCTTGTAGCAGCTTGTGATAGAGCCCATTAGGAAACAGGCATTTCTGGATTTGGTTATGTGTAATGATTAAGGACCTTCAGGTGAAGGAACCCCAAGGGGGTAGTGACCATAATATGATAAAATTCACCCTGCTGTTTGAGAGGGAGAAGCTTGAATCAGATGTAACGGTACATAATTCAGTAAAGGTAACAACATGAGGGAGGATGAGATTGCAGAGTACTTGGAATGCATGATAAAATAGGGATGAGTCAGCACAGCTTCATCAACGAAGGTCATGCTTGACAAATTTGTTGGAGTTCTTTGAAGTTAGACAAAGGAGAGCGAGTGGACGTAATCTATTTGGATTTCCAGAAGGTCTTTGACAAGGTACCACACAGGAGGCTGCTAAACAAAATAAGAGCCCATGGTGTTAGAGGCAAGGTACTGGCATGGATAGAGAATTGGCTGACTGGCAGAAGGCGGAGAGTAGAGATAAAGGGGTCTTTTTCAGGATGGTAGCCAGTGACTAGTCGAGTTCCGCATGTATCAGTGTTGGGGCCACAACTATTCAGAGGTGTGAGATGGCAATTTGGGGTATCAGATGCAGCAACTGCAAAGGTAGGGAAACATGTTTCAGGAGTTGCAGTGTGTTGAAGTATCATTGTAGCTTTGGAGTAGTTGGCAAGTGTTTATTTCCACTGTCATCCATGCAGTGTTGGTCATGATCTTTGATGCTTCACTGAGGGGAGGTACTACCAATAATGAAGGAAGCCATCATCCGCGTATGTTTCTGTGCCCCTCATCAATTGGTTTCGAGAGAAAATCATTTTGCTATAGTAGCAGAAAGAAATGCTTGAATGTCACAAATTATAACTCTGTAGTTGCAGAAGATAGGTTAATATTGTGGTCAAGAAGCTGAAAAATAGGACTTAGAAATGTGGAATGACCTGAAGTGGAAGTTTTGAAACTGCATTTTCGTTTTCATAATTCTCATGAGATGTATCTTTGCTGGTTCTAGTTAAATTTCAGAACTATAAAAAGGATATTGACTGCTGCATTTCTATGGATAATTTACTTCATTCCTTGTACTTGAAGAACTAACATTTCCTCTGGTAATTAAGTTTGTAAACACTGATTAAGTACCTGTTTGTATGAATTTGAGTTTCATTCTTTATTTGCAGTCATTCTCTCAGAGAAGTACAAGTATTTTTGCCTTTTTTTCCCTTAGTTTTAAAGGTGTTATCATAGATATGTCTAAATAAAAATTACTTTTCACAACTTTGACTTTTTTCTTCGCGTTTTACTTTCCTGCAAATACTTAATTAGCTGCCTTCTGTCAGGATTCTGGCAACTCTAGATGTTGACTGTAATGAGGAGGTTTCATTGTATCACATTATAGAATTGAGTCTCAGTTGTTGCAACTAATCTTTATAAAGGTTAGTTAGTTATTGAGAGAAAAAAGGTTGAAAAGATTTGGCAATCTGCAGAAATTTCTTTCTAAATATTTATGATACATTTACAAAGAAATTGTAGCTTTTATTATTCTCAGAAGAACAGTTAACAGTTTGGAAAATGTCATAATTTTTTCATTTGTTCATTTCTTTTGCTCTCATGTAACTCGATTCTCTCTTCCAGACTAATAGATCATACTATCTGAACTCTGCACTACTCTCTCAGATTAAGTGGACATCTTAGCACAAGGGACATTCTATCCAGCAAAGCTCCCAAAGTATACTCTGTTCTGAGTATCAAGGACTGGGTTTACAATCAAGTTGCCAGTGTAAAGATTGAATACCTTATGTACATCATTGCCAATTTAGTCTGAGATTAGAATTTGGCTACATAGGATACAAATCTGATGCTCTAACTACAGCAAAAATAACTGGCTTCTTTCGCTAGTCTCATTGAGTCTCATTAATTTTCTCTGATTCCCCACCCTCATCCATGTCCGTACTCCCTGCCACTGAACCCTGTTTCAGAAGTGCACGTGCTTCCTTGTGTGTGCGCAATGCTGCATTTACATATGACATCACATGTAAGTTATATGTGATGACTTATTGTGTCTGGAATCGTGTCGATGAGCATTCCTGGGTTAGCACACGGTCGTCCTATAAAAGCTTATGGTACAATAGTTTAGTTCCAGTCTCATCAGTGGGTACATGAAGTGTTGACTGTCTAGCTGATACTTTCTTGAAGCTTCTGGAAGGTTACGTTTAAGTCCAGTCACTTGATTAGCTTTTTGGGACTGTTTAATGGGGCGTTTAGAACAGTCACTAAATGTACATAGATAGATGAGTTTGAAAGGGAAAAATATGAAACAGCTACAAAGTTCAAGATTCAGGTAAGGTTGTCTTCAACAGGGTGGAAATGAAGGCTGTCCACAGTAAATTAGGCAAATCTGTTAACACACAAAACAACAGCAGATCAACAGCGGCTTTCAAAAATTGTTAAACAAGTTAGTTTCTATCACTGAGAGGCAAGAGCTCTACCTCCCAAAAATAAATTCTTGGGTGATTGAACAGAGTCAGAGCTGTAATAAAACAACAGAAAAATCATATGTCTTCACTATTTTTTTTAACTCTATTTGTGACACCAGTATTTTCTGTTCCTATTTCAGCATCACAGTACTTTATTACTGTTTCTTTCGAAACTGCTTCCGCAAGTTTAAATGTAACTCTGGTTGAGAACCTATTGATGTAAATATCTTGGCATGCCACAGTATTGGCAGTAGTGTTCTAACTTCTAGAGGTTACTGGGGTAAAATAAACTTACTTAAGTAAACACTGTCTTTCCTTATTTTTTCAGTTTAAACTTGGAATACGGACGTCATGACAAGCTTAGTGCTTAATGTCCATCCCTTATTGGTCTTGTGAAAGAAATGGTGTCCTTCCTCCTTGAATGCAACTAAGTGAGTTGCTAGGACATTTCAGAGATACATTGAGAGTCACCTCTTGTATGTATGCATCACAATAGAATCAAGCTGATAAAGATGGCAGCTTACGTTCTCTAGGTCTTAGTGAACCAGATGGGCTACTTAAAACAAGCCTGTAGTTTGTGCCCTCCATTTCACATGCTAGCCTTTTAGTTGGGGGTTCATTTGCTCAGTTGGCTGGGTGCCTGGTTTGCCTTGCAGAGTGATGCCAACAGTGCAAGTTCAGCTCCCGTACTGACAGAGGTCACCATGAAGGTCCCACTTTCTCAACTTTGCCCTTTGCCTGAGGCATAGTGGCCGTTATGTTAAACTCGCCACCAATTGTCTCTTTAATAAGAGAGCAGCCGAATGGTCCTTTGGGACTATGGCAATTTTATCTTCACTTTGATCCAAATTTATTAAATTGAATTTAAATTTGGATTTAAACTTATATAGCAGGATCCTTAAATTTATATTTCATGTACGTATACTCTGCTTAATATAGCTGCAGGCATTTCAATACCATTACTAATCCAATTGCTTTCATAGTATTTTACAGAATATGGGCCTGATTATGTACTGGAAATCACCCGAAGCTGTCGGACTGACCAGAATGATCCCCACCGGATTGAGCAGATACTTAGCAGGATCCGAGGTAAGGAAGATATAGTCTCATAAAATTTGGATAAGCGTATGAACCTACGTCAGACAGCAGATTGTGAGCAGTGCTGCAACAATCTGCTCTTGAAGCAGCAAGAGAGCAGACCATACTAGATTTAATAATAAGTAGTGAGCCAGATTTAGTTAACACCATAAAGGCATATGAACTGGTTTCCAGTAGTGATCATAATATGATTGAGTGAATTGACAAATTTGCAAGGAGTGAAAAAAAGTGAAACAGCTAGAAAGCTTTAGGATTTAGGTGCAGTTGACTTCAGCAGGGTGAAACAAAGATGATCCACTAAACTAGGCAAATCTGATTTTGAGTAAAATGACAGAAGACCAGCTGTGGCATTCAAAAATAGTTTTAACATGCTAATGTTTATACCACTAAGGAACAGGAGCTCTAACCTGCCAAAAATAAATTCATGGAAGACTGAGCAGTGTCAAAATCACAATAAAATTAATAGAAAAATAATTCCCAAAACTCCATGCTTCACACCCTGTACTGAAACAACTCTTTTCAAAGTCACAAATGACATCCTATGTCAAGGTAAAAGCTAAAAGATTCTTCTGTAGTCAGTCTGTAAGCTTTGACACAGTTGACACCACCATTTTCCTTAATACTGTGCCTGAAATTAGCAGACTGCTTTTTGGCATCCAGTACAGGTTGAGCAGAAATTTCCTCCACCTAAATATAGGAAATCACCCTTCGTCCCTGCTACAATTCTGTTCATTAATTAGCGACTCAATCCAACCCCTAGGAATTGGCTTGACGCGTGAAACGTGTTATTTGCAATCTTGATGTCGTTTTTGACCTCGAAATGAAGTTCTAATATATATCAGCTATATCAGCAAGCCCACCTATTTGCAACCCTATAAAGTTACCTGCAAGAGCCTTGTTTCATCTGTTGTTGAAACGCTCATCCGTGCCTTTGTTACCACCAAACTTGACGTTTCTAATGCATTGTTGGTTGGTCCTCCGTAAACTTGAGATAATTTAAGATTCAGTTCGTATTTGGGCCAAGTCCCATTTTCCCATCACCTCTATGCTCACTGACTTATGTTGACTGCCAGCTAAGCAACACCTTCCTCTTAAAATTCTCATCCTTGTTTTTAAACCCCTTTGTTGCCTCTCCTCTTCCAATTGTTTTTCATGGAGATCTGTGTGTGGCAGGCTGGGCCAATGTTTATTATCTGTCCCAAATTGCCCAGGGGACAGTTAAGAGTCAACCACATTGCTGTGGGTCTGGAGTTACATATAGGCCAGACTGTGTAAGGATGACAGATTTTCTTTCCCAAAGGACATTAGTGAACCAGATGGGATTTTACAATTATCGACAGTGGTTATATGGCATGGTTGGGCTAGCTTTTCTTATGCCAGATTTTTTTTGGATTGAAATTTCATCATTTGCTATGCTGGATCCTGAGAATATTACCCAGGGTTCTGGATTACTAGCTGAATAACATTACAAGTACCCCTCCACTTCATTTCTATAATGCCATCCAATCCTACAAATGTTGGAGGTAATGATACTTCTAAAACTGCAGCAACTTTGAATATCACAATTTTATTTGGCATTGGCCACTGTTTCAGCTGTCAATCTCTGAGCTCTGGAATTCACTCCCTAAACCTTTGTAGCCATCCTTCCTCCTTAAGATTACCTAATTGACCTTAATCCCTTCTGTGGCTCTGAACTAAATTTTGCTTTCTAACTCTGCTGTGAAGTGCCTAGGTCGTTGAATTGTGTTAGAATTTATAAATGAATATACATTATAAAAGAGGCATACAAGATCCAAGTGAATAGGAAGCATGTGCAGAATAGGAAATGGTAGCAGTAAATTTTAAAGACTATGAAAAATGAACATAAGAATATGGAAATAAACCTTCAACAAGTATCCAATTTATACTAACAGCGAAAATAGTGGCAGGAAATTTATGCAACCGCCTGTGGGCCTGAAATTGGATGACATGGTTGCCTACAACCCTCCAGTAGAGTTTTGCTAGTGACTGGGTAAATAATGGGCTGTCTGCCCACCCCATGGACTAATTAATAGCCACTTAAACTCCAACTCTAGACTGTCAAGTAACTGTTAGCAACCTGGTCACATATTTAAGTGGGATTGTGTTCCTACTTTGGTCCTCAGTATCAAACAGACCCCTCCCCTCGCCATAACAGAAATGACTGTCACGGCTTTACCATTGCCCCCCCCCCCCCCCCCCCCCACCCACCCAACCGCTCCCGCCAATAACCCTTGATCTCCCAAACACAACCCTCCCCTTCCTCACTCACCAAGACCTGCCTGGTTGGCTCCAATGAGGTTGCCTTGCTTACCTGCTGCTTTGGCTTCCAGTGATATTCCATAATTAAGGACTGATTGCAGGCAGAATATCCTCACATGTAAGGGCAGAAGCCATAGCTAATGACTCCTAAATCTGGTCACAGCATCTGGGACTAGCAAAAGCAGGTGTGCCCTGACCCCTCAACCTGCAGGTAAGGCCAGTGCCTCTCCAGAATCTTTGATCACGGTCATGATCACTAAAGAGTGCGAAATTGTATTCATACCAGGGTTTTTAAAAAGTGGACAAGAACAATGCAGGTGCCCTAATTATAATCTTCCAACATTCTGTTGATTCAGGAACTATTGCTTGTTACCAATGACTTAAGAAAGATAATAAAGAAAAGCCAGGGAATCTTGAACCAGTTCAGGAAGTTACTGAAGTCTATAATTAATGATAGAGTCACTGGACACCTTGAGATATTTCAGTTCAACAGAGAGAACCAACATGGATATGGAAAAAAAATAGGTCATAGGAATTGAAGGCAAATTATTGCTCTAGTTAGGAAATTGGCTAGGTGGCATGAGAAAATAGGGTTTCTGACTAAGAACTCTAAATTGATGCATCTGACTAGTGGCATTCCGCTGGGATTTGTGTTGGGGTCTCAATTGTTAACTAGATTTATTCATGACTTTGGCCTAGAAAATTCATGTGTCCAGTTTTTCAGTGACATACAGATAAACAGCAATGTATACAGTGTTGATGGAGCATTACATTGGAACTTATTATTATTAATAAACGAAGCGAATAGGCAAAATGGGCCCTTTTTCGATACAGTGGTATGTGTCCATACCCCTGGACTGAGTGGCCCGGGTTCAAGTCCCACCTGCTCCAGAGTTTTATAATAACATCTCTCAACAGGTTGATTAGAAAAATAGTTAATTAAAAAACCTGTAGACCAGTGTGAGGAATCCACTTTAGACCTGAAATGTAGAGCAATGTGTTTCCTAAATGGTTAAAGCTAGAAGCCATGGCAGCCCATGTAAGTAGTTCATTAAAATATTGTAAATAGGTACAAAAAAAATTGAAAAGGTGAATATATTATTGGAGTTTATGTCTAGAAGATTAGAAAACAAGAGTTTTGAAGACCTGCTACAATAATATTTCACTCCTCACTGGTGGAGTGAGCTGGAGGTTGAGCTCTACTATTCCTGAAGTTGTCACTGAAGTAAAAGTTTTTAAAAGAAGTACACAAGTTCCTCAAACAATCTGATATTCAAACCCAGGTTGATAGAAAGCACAGATCAAGTTTCTATACTTAGAAGGAATCACTACATTTATTACATGTCATTAGATTCTAGATACAGGTAAACAATTAAACTAAATTAATTCTACACATTAAGACTCTAAACCGCTTATAAACTCCTCCTTACACACACAAACGAATAAATATTAACAGGAACAAAAAACACTTTGGCGAGGGACAACTAGGTAAACAATTTTGTAGTCTTTGTTTCAACATTTGTAGGGTTGGTTGTTGCTGATTCAAATGTTTCTCAATCTTTTTCCAAATGCTTCAGCTGGTTTGCAAGAGGCATAGGTTAGCTGTTTCACTTATGAAAAGTCTTTGACATATCCAGTTCAAAGTCACAATTTTCAGCATCTGCTGAAGGAAAGATAGGTAATTTTTCTCTGCTTTAAAGTGGCTTACTGCTGGGAATTGAGAGGGAGCTTTCGACAGCTGCAGATCTGCTGGTTTCTCTCCTGGTCTATCTCGGTTCTCACTGTCTTGCTCGAAGACCAAACTCTTCAGCTGACTAACAACCAATCAGCTCGTTTTTGGCGGGCAGAAGACCTTTGTCATTGATAAATGCACCCAAATTCACGATCCAGTCAGTTTCACTTGTAAACAACCCCTTGGCTCCAGTTCCTCTGCATGTTGCTGAAACCCATAGCTACACAAACGGGGTTCAAAAAAGGTATCAAATTCCTGGCTTTCAAAAAGTTCTTTCTCAATTCATTCCACAGTTTTAGAAAGCACAAAAATTAAAAAGGACAAGTTTTTACAAACGCAAAAGCTTGGTTAGACTTACCTGAAGTACTTTGTTCACTCTGACCAACATATTTTGGGAAGGATACATTGGTCTTGGAGAGAATGCAATACAGATTTACTGCAACAATGCCTGGATTCTATTGCCACTGGTCAAGGAATCTAGGACAAGAGGATATCTGAATTCAGAAAGACTTGTACATGCAAAGGCATGGTTGAAGTTTGTAAATGGCAATGGATAATTTTAATTCTAAGATTGATTGATGGATTTCTGATAATCAAAAGAATTAAGGAATATGGAGCAGAAGTGGGAAATGAGTGTACTGCGTGGGACACTGTTGTTGCACAGATGCACTGTAATTGCTTTTGGAAAGCATATACAATATAATACATTCAATTATCTGTGCAAAACTGAGAATTGAAACCTTCAGTCATTACTGGGCATCACAAATTCAATAAGAATTGCACCAATCTTGACTTCTTTAAATCTGTGCAGTGAAATATTTTCAAATGAATACTGAATAATACCAGTAAATAACAAATTCATGTGTGTTTTGTTCAAGGATAACAATCTGATGCACTGAAGTTTGTTGGGCACTATTCCACATTGAAAATGGAAACGTGAGGCCTGCTGTGTGTCCCCAACATGGACAACAAGCACAAAAAGCATTGAGACCATGAATACAAACAGTCCACATACCTCATTAAATTTTCAAATGTCTAAATTAGGAAGCTCCTCCAAAATGTAATAGATGCAATGAGCATCTCCTCAGTTTCAGCGTCTCATTTTGAACCTTGTGCTGATGGGCAATCCCTGTTTAAGAAAGAATTGGCCCTGACACCTTCGACCTTATCCACCTCTGTCTAATGCAACTGATCTCCATGGTGGAAAATCCCTCAGTATTTAACAAGCTATCAGCTTTCAACATATTAGTTTCATGATCAGCAGAAAATTATTCAATTTGCGGAATATGTGTGTTATCTGGCAATATTATAAATTGCATCAGAGGAGGGTGAAGCATAATATCACTGCTTGCATTGATGACAAGTGTACAAAAGTAGATTTTTGATTCCCAGCCATAAATAAATTAGCATGCAAAAATATATCTCTGTGAGTATGTAATTCTGGGTACAGCCAACCATAAGGGTAGTTTGTCTTTAAGAATACTATGCAAGATGCAGACTAAGCACAGAAAATAGACTTGTACAAAATGTCAACCAAACACAAGGAAGCGTGTTTCTGCAGGCACGATGTGCTCTATCTGAATCATTCAAAGTACAAAAGCAGAAGTTGGCATTATCTGCGATGTAATCACTAATTTTGTTCTAGTTATGACACCTGGATGCGGTTACAACCTTGTAAAGAATTAAGTAAATTTAAGTTGCTAAGATTTTCAGAATGAAATCTTGCTCATTATCATATTACTATATCAGAATCTAGGTAATTAGGGCTTACCAGTAATTTGATGAATTGAAAAGATTTATATTAATTGTCATTGACTGTGTTGCAATGTTCTGTTTACACTTTCGTTGGAATTTTGCACTGGTTGACCTGGATATTTGCTGGATTGAAACTGGAAGGAATGCATTTAAACAGTGCAGTTTAAAAGATTGAAGCACTGCTGGTATATGCACACTGATAATTGAAAATGGGAATTTACATCAATTAATTTGATTTTGGCACTGCAGCAGTAAGCCTGATCTTTAGCTTTTCGTAGTACAGAAACTGGCCTTCTAAAGGAGATCCTATCATGAGTGTTTGGTTTAATGTTCACAAAGGCCACCTATTTCTGCAGCATAATGAGAATTTTCCTAGATTTGATAATTTGAGGATCTGACCACATTTGTTTTGTACTTTTCTGCATAAAATTTGCAGTTAACCTGTTAGTGTCACAGTGCTATGAACCAGAAAAGGCAAAAGTTTATTTTTTTTGTGTTTTTTTCCAGGAAATCTGAAGAATGTAATTTAATAAGTGGTGGGAGTAAATAGAAGACTAGAGAAGCCTTTTAACTGAATGCATTCTGTGGCTGTTGTAGCTGCAGGGGAAACTTGGATGAAATTACTTGCAAGTTCCAGGACAACAGATGTTCATTAAGATTTGAAGCTGCAGTTAACCCTTTCTTATTCAGCTGTATAGGACAGACCTTCGGATGCTTAAGGATTGCAGTATCCTGTTGTTTTGCTTTTTATTACCATAATTATGTTGTAAATATATTTTTAATTCATTTTTAGTTGTTGTTTTGAAAAGCACCCTCTAGTAGAGATGCAGGTGTTTTTGTAGTTGGCTGAAGAGCCTGCCAATTTTATATGAAAACAGAAATTGCTGGCAAACCTCAGCAGATCCAGCAGCATCCATGAAAGAAAGTAGAGTTAACATTTTGGGTCCAGTGACCTTTCAGAAGGGTTCTGAAGAAGGGTCACTAGACATGAAATGTTTACTCTTCTTTCTCTCCACAGATGCTGTCCGACCTGCTGAATTTATACAGCAATTTCTGTTTTTTTTCTGATTTCCAGCATCTGCAGTTCTTTCGTAAATCTTTGGCAAATTATATATGCCAGGACTCAAATAGCATTTTGCCTTCTGCCCCTAGATATAGAGTTTTACTGACTATGTTCAGTAGTTTTTGTTTAATCAGACTAATCTGCAATGAATTGTACAAAGGGGTTGTAACATTTTATAAACTAAGATAACCCATGGAGCAATATAATGCTCATGTGCACTGATTTTCATGAAAGGACCTGGATTTGTGTTCCTCGTTCTTCACTACACCCAGCATTTTTCTTAGCTATATTTTCAGAGGAAAGGGAAAAAAAAAACCACCATAAAAGTCAAGGCTTCACGAAGGTGGATAAAGTGAAGTTGCATCTATTTTCTCCACAGCCAGCCAAGAGCTTCTTTCAGTCTCTGGTTACAAAATTCTGGATGAAACGTGTGCTTTTTTTTTAAAGCTACGGCATATACCGCATGGAGAAGAGGAATGGTGCAGAAAAACTTATTTAAATTAGAGTGGAGAAACGAGCAAAAAGTTTCAAACAAGATGTATGAAAGGTAGTCACTAACTGTAGCAACTTGTTTAAGTTGTTCCTTAATTCCTTATTAAAAGGGAAAGAGAAAATGCTGGAGAAATTGAATAGATCTATCAGAAAGCCAATTCTGAAAACACATGCTGCCAGATTTCCAGAGTTTCTCCAGCAATTCTCCCCTTCTTTTAATAAGGATCTAAGGATCAACTTTAACAAGTTGCTACAGTGGGTGACTACCTTCCTAACATTTTGTTTGAAACTTGTTGCTCATTTCCCCACTCTAATTTAAATATGATTTTCAGCACCATCCCTGTTCTCCCATGTGGTATGCACTGTAGCTTTAAAAAAAGGACAGGCTTCATCCAGCATCTGGCAGCATATAACTCTTTTCAGAACTGGCATTCTGATAGACAGTTTCTCCAGCATTTTCTCTTTATTTTCAGATTTCCAGTATCTGCAGTATTTTGCTGTGAAGTGTTTAATTCTTTACTGTTTGTGTTTTTTTAATGGTGAGGATTTTCCGTAGAATCTCATTTAAATCCAAGCTCATATGGAATTGTCATGGTTGTTTTCATTATTTTCTCTTGGGGCCCCATTGGCAGTCATTTTTTTAATGGAATGGACCTTAGCCCTCCTGCTGTCCTGAGCAAACCTCCAGTTTGCAGATGTTTGGACTGGCAATGCCTTTAATAAACAGTTTGCAAGTTTGGGTTGATTTCTATTTCCAACTCGGAAAACATAAGCAAAAATAAATTGCTCTGGTGTTTGAGAAAAAAGACAATATTCAGAATAACAGCTGTATCTACAAAAAGATGAATAGCATTTCTTTTCTTTTTGAAATATTTACAATGCGGACAGCTGCCACTAATTATAAGTGTTTCTTGGTTGATAGATATACCAGTCAAAATGAACACTTTAAATCTTAACTTTATAACATGAGTTCCCAACCTGCAGCCTTGGGGCTATGTACAACCCCTGCAGTTTATCATATTCGACTTTGTGGTTTAGACACGTTTTTCTCAGCTGTTAAGTCACTGGTGACAAAATCCTCAACTATAACTGTAAGAAATATTAGGACTAATACCTTGACATGCATAAAGTTAATGGAAAAGTTGATATAAACTTAATCTGTGACCCATAAGGACAATGGCTTGGAAATTCGTCTGCTGTAGGATAACTGGCAGTTTAATTCTAAATATCTTCAAAAAGTGAACATCAATATTGGTAATCTGAATTGTTTTATCATTAAAAGTTATGAGTTTTTTTCCACTTTTAAATGTATTTGTTTCAATGTTGAGGGACAGCACTGTAACATGACTTGCAGAGTCTAGGTCTAACAGAGTACAGATGTCAGTGAACTCTTAACACCTGTATCTCAGGCAGCCTTTGTAATAAAACAGAATACTTTCTGGTATTTACTGAAGTTGGCAGCTAAGAAGACCTACTTTATGTTTCTTCCCTTTATGCGATTTTAGAGAATTCTAGCAAGGTGACTTCTTCGGTTTCTAGTTGGCTCCTTGTGAGTTGGAAACTAGTTCTGGTGCCACAGTAGTGAGTCTGAAGGCAGCCATAAAACAAATGAAAAGAACTGAGTACTGGTTAGCAAGTGTTATTGATTCTAACAAAACTAGACAGCTGAGTTGACCAATAAATGTACCATTCTAACTGCACAGTGCTGGTGGTACTGAACCTAGTAATCTGAGACCATTGTGTGGCATTCAGTTAAAATAACATGATTGCAAGTTAATGTCTCTGTTTTGATTGATATAAGTTCAAATTCATTACATATCAAGCATCATCAGTTGGGGCTAATTTCTGCTAAAAGATATACCTATATAGTCATGACCAGTGCTCTGTTTAATATTTTTCTTTAGCTGCTTGTTCATATACTTAAGGAAAATTATTGCAAGTGTTTTACCATTTGCCCTCATCACTGGCATCAGCATTCAGGTTAAATAAAACAAAACCAAATCAAAATTCAAACAATATAATGGTTAAAAAGAAGCTTTGCTGGTGTATTAGAATATGGGTATACTCCACTTCTAGTAGTATAAAGCACAACAAAAAGACATGTATACTTGGAAAATATTGAAAAAGTTACTTTTTGTAATGTGTGCCTTATCAGTTTATCTGTGCTTCTCTCAATGAACTTCTTTTGGGGTGCAGTGGCCATTGATTTAGGCAAGCTTGGCAACAATCCTGAAACCCTTGAGATGATCAATTGCGTTTTTGATGTATTGATTGAGGATATCCAAGATAAAATTAAAACCAAAAGATCAGGATTAATTTGAGCACAGAAAAACAAGAATGAGGGACAGCGATAAAGAGGACACAAGAAACAAGCAAAAACATCAAATGTGCAAAATTGTAAACCAAGAGTAGTAAGAAGACAGCAAAATGACAGATGATAATGAAAACATTTAATGTGAAAAAAGAAAAAGACAGTTGAGATGGAGCTGGCACTCTGAATTTCTACACCATCTTTCCTGTGTATTCGTAATTTTGCAGACTCTGTCCCCACCAGCCAAATCATTTTCCATTCATCAAAGCATTCCTATGAAAAGTCTTGTGTTTATTGCATTGAAAACCAATGTCTTGTGCAAGGATTATCACAGCTCATCTGCAGGGGCTAATAACGGAAAGGATACTTCATTTCTGACTAACATTCATTCACCAGCATGTTCTTGCAATTGCTTGTTTTTAACATTCTTTGAGACCAAGTCCTTTTTAAGTGTATTTTAAAAATGGGGTTTTATCTATACATCAGCCTTATTAAATAGTTTTCTGGCAATTTTACTGATGTTAAAGAGTCAATTTCAAACAACGTTTTGTACTTGTACTTTTTTCCTGTTACTGTTTCTTACTTTGACAGTTTTTTGTGGTGGCCAGGAAAATATAATGTGGTTATTAATAAATGGAATTAAAAGTGCAATTCTCTATGCTTTCAGACAGTGTTCCTTTGACAGTGTTTGTAAAAGCTGTTTCAATATAGCCATGACCTGGGGTTTGTTTGATCATTTTTGTTTGCCCCTTTTATGTCCAATTTTTTAAAAAATCACCGGAAATGTTTTACCACTGAACCGCATCACTGAAAAGGAGCAACACATAAATTCTTCTGCCTACTGAATATCTTTTAATATCATACTGTTTCTTCACGTGGAGGAATAATATAACAAAAGTAAATTTGTCCTGTAATACTATACCCATATGTTACTGTGTAAATTCATGTAGGTTGTATAGAGCATCATTTTAAAGGCTGAGATTATGCATGCTCTTACTCTCATCCTTTTTGCAGCACCTTTGTGGGTGCAAATCCAAGAAAACGGCTGATAGGAAAATAATTCACCAGTCACCCCAAAAAGAATTTCCTAGCTAAATGTTAGCTATAGATCTGCTTCTGCTCCTGTGCTTCATATCCCCTAACCATTGGAAACAATGCTTTTCTCGACATTGCTGCCTCTACCTGTACCTCCCTCCATGTGCACATACACACCATTCCAAATTATTCTTTTCATTTCAATCTTTACCTTTATGAGATATATGGCATATTGTCACCTTACTTTTATTATTTGAATGGGTCCCAATTAGCTTTTGTATCACCCACATCCATTACTTATGCCATGATAATGACAGGCTATTATGTCATTGGGGCACCACAGTCAATTCAGAGCATATTCAATTTACATGACATGTAAATTTACAGTTACAGTAGCTGGATATTTACCAGTCCAAGAAAATTGGCTGATTTCCCCACCATTTACCATGGAACTGATATCATTAATAGCACCTCATCTACAATACTCTGATTAAGATCAGCCAACTTAGTTGACCAAGTATCTGAAGATGAAAATTTGTGGTCTGAGTAGTTATGCCACTGTCAGTTAGATGGTAAAAGCAATATTTCCTGATTGTTGTCAAGCGACATCAGATATGTTGCTTGTGCAAACATTTAATAATGGTAGGAACTAGCACTTCAGAGGTGTGACATAATATGCCTGAGCAAGTTGATTAAAGCTATCTAAGGGTCAGTACTGGGATTGTGGTGGCACAGCAGTAGTGTTGCACTGTGTGAGCCAGGAGGTATGGGTTAAATTCCCAACTGAACAGGTTGATAATATATGAGAGACACCATGAGTGATGTGTAAACAATGTGAGTTCTATGAATTCTGTGGACTTTGCAAAGGACTATGTGGAACAGTGGTAGTGCTCCTATCTCTGTGACAGGATACCCACATTCAAGTCCCACCTGCTCCAAATGTGAGTCACAATGTGTCTGAACAAATTGATTAAGAAATTCTAAAGATAGGCAGTGCCCCTGCTGGGCAGCGGGTGTGATTTGTTGCTTGTTTTAATTAGTCAAATGGGTGATTTGATGGCAGGTTTTCAAAAACAAAAGATAGGATTTGGGCTCATTTGTAATTTATCTGTAGATTAGTGCCTACCTTTGTTAAGACTGAAGATGCATTGTTAATGCTCATCTCAAATAATGGACACTCTGTAAGGGGCTAAAGGCAACCAACATTTCAGAAAACTCATCCCTGCAAGCACCAATGGCTTCAGATGTGAAATACACAAAATTGGAAACAAAAAAAATTATTAATTCCATTGGATCCTAAGTTATAAATACAACACCAAACTAACATTATGAGATAGTGGCACAAGAAGACTGTGATAAAGAAGGCCTTTCTTAGCCATTGTCTTAGTAGCTGGGACCATTACGATAGTAGTTTTTAGTCCAAAGTTAAACAAGAATCACAGATGGAAGCTATGATGATTTCATTTCAAACATGTATGACTCATAAAACAGTACTAATGGCAATATGTAGCAGTTGGTAACTGGTATAATTCTCCTCTGTTGATGTATGCATTGTTTCCTCTCAATCCATTCCTTAATACCATGGCTTTGTTCAGACATTTATGAGAATTAGAAAAAAATTATCCGCATTATTTTTAGCATGGAATAGTGTAATCAATGCTTATGTGTCATTTTTTGTAGACTTTTTTGAAATTATCAGTAAATTGTGTTTCAATATGGTAGTATATTTAGTCCCTATTATCCTCAGATAATAAGAATAGCTTCACATGTATGATTCATTGGAACAAGTTGTATTTTATGTCCATATTCTTCTCTTTGTACCATAGGCACACTCATAATTGTTTAGGACTTCACTGCTAAGATCAGTGTTTGCATTAGTTTAAAACGTGTGTAGTTTTACACCTAGACAGTAGTGGGAATACAGAACTTGGCACCATAAGGTGGAATTCAGATGAAAGTATAGTCTCATTTGGGGGTGAGTTTAAGCATATGAGGAAGCAGGCAATAACACATGCTAATAGGATTAAATGAGAATGGAAGGAAACTTGAATGAAACACCAGCACTAGCATGGACTGATTGAGCCATATGATCTATTACTGTGCTGTTGATTTACTGCAATTGGAAGCTGAAACAGTGGTTATTTATTTTGTTACCCTTTCCTGAATCTAGGAAGGTAGTGTCACTTCTAGCGCCGCAGAATTGCTCTGGTTGAGAACAGCTTACTCGGTGGGAATTGAACCCAGCACCTTCCAAATCTGTATGGCTATACATCTTACCCTGATTTCATTCAATAAGCCATTGAACGTTTGCTTCCCAACACCACCATTCACAGTTAGCATTTAATGACTAATACAAATATTTTATTCTCCGCTATTGAATGGAAAAGAAAATCTCATTCAGCAAAATATGATAAAAACGTGAAATGTGTTGGGATTGCCAGACTTCCATAAATCTAAAGGATGTAATGAAGCAGCAATGTTCAGTGTTAATTTATGAAAGGATCTGAAAGAATATCTTCTTATTAAAGAAAAGTCAGTGGTAAGAATAATTACATCCACTGCTGAGTATTAGGATGAGACTAGCTCTTGTCAACGGCTGTCACCTCAGTTATCTCCTGCTTTATTGCTTGATTCTGACTCCAGTTTCTTCTGCTAGGCGTATGAATAATGTATTAAGATTTTAATTGTGCTGTTCTACTAGTGATATAGAACTAATTCCATTTTACTATTATGCAGACAATTATTTGTTGATCCGTCAATGATTGGGTAAGAAGAATCTTAGTCAATCAGTTTTTTTGACCACCCTTTTACAGTGAAATTGAACTGCTACTCTTGACCAAAAACAAAGTTGCTGGAGAAGCTCAGCAGGTCTGGCAGCATCTGTGAAGGGAAAAACAGAGTTAACATTTCAGATCCGATGAGGAAGGGTCATGGAACACTCCCATTGAACAATCTTGCCCCAGGTCATCACTAAGTAGTTTCTCAGGGCACTGTCTTAGGCTCAAACAGCTTCAGCTGACAGTCCATTTTGAAGTCCAAAGTGGGGATATTGCTAGATATTGCACAACTGTCAGAACCTCTTGTGACTCCTCTCATACTAAGACAGTTTATGTCCATGTGCAACAAAACTTAGACAATATTCTGGCTTCAGTCGATAAAGCGCAAGTAATAAATGCCAAAAAATAGCCTTCTCTAACCAGACAGAAGCTAATCATCCCACCTTAAACTACGTTGGCATTACTATTGTAACTTCCCCATCATCACCATTATTACCATTAATCAGAAATTTAAATTGATTAGTCATGTAAATACCATGGTTACAAGATCAGGTCAGAGGCTAATCATATGCAGCGGGAAATTCTTCCTGACTGCCCAAACCCTGTCCGCCTGACACAAAAACTCGGGGTGCAGAGGATAGCTATAAGCTCCAAAATGATATAGATACGTTGATGGAATGAGCAGGAAAGTGGCAGATGGAGTACCAACTCCGATAATTGTGAGGTAATGCATTTAGGGAGGTCAAACAGTAAAAGGGAATACAGAATAAATGAAAATATACTGAGAGGGGTGGACGAAGCAAAAGATCTCGGCATGTGAGGTAGCAGTACAGATGGATAAGGTTGTAATGAAGGCATAAGGAATGCTTGCCTTGATTGGCAGAGGTATAGAATACACAAAAATAGGGACGTAATGATGAAACTATAAGACAATGATGGAGCTACAACTGGAGAATTGTATGCAGTTATGGTCACCACGTTACAGGAAGGATGTAATTGCTCTGGAGAGAGTGCAGCATATTGCCAGGGCTGGAGAATTGTAGCTACAAGGAGAGATTGGAGAGGTTGGGGTTTGTTTTCCTTTTAACAGAAAAGGGTGAGGGGTGACGCGATTGAGGTATACAAAATTTGATAAAGTAGACAGGCGGAGCCTGTTTCCCTTGGCAGAGTGTTCAAAAACCAGGGGTCACAGATTCAAGCTAAGTGGCAGAAGGATTAGAGGGAATGTGAGGAAAACCTTTTTTAAACAGAGGGTGGTGGGTGTCTGGAATTCGCTGCCTGAGTTGGTGGTGGAGGCAAAGACTTTTTAAAAGTACCAGGATCTGCACCTTAAGTGCTGAAAGCTGCAGAGCTATGGGCCATGTGCAGGAATATGGCATTAGAGAGGGCATTTGGATGTCTTTGGGTTAGCATGGACAAGATGGGCCAAATGGCTCCTTCTGTGCTGTTTCATTTCTATGGTTCTATGCTTCTAAGGCACAAGCCACATATGTGCTGGAATACTGCCAATTACCTGAACGACTTTAACTGTTAATAACATTCAAGAAACTTTAAACCATCTTGAACACAACAGCCTACTAGATTGGCATCCCATCCACCACTGGCTTCCAGTTGTCACAGCATGTACAATTTACAATTGCACTACAGCAATTCACTGAGTTTCCTTACACAATGCCTTCCAAACCCATGAGGACCTCTACCACCTAAAAGCAAATTTTCCTCCAAGCCACACATCATTCTGACTTGGATCTTGCACTGTCATTGGATCAAAATGTTGTAATTCCTTCCTAACAGTAAATCCTTCCAGCGGATGTACCCTACGCCAAATAGACTACAGTATTTCAGGAAGCCTGC